TTCAAATCACCCTGTATATTATAATACTGTTACTCTCGTGGTTTTATAGGAGTCACCCTGTATACACAAGTATAAAGTGCTTCAAGGTTATAAGATATATGAATATACTTGAAAATGATTTTTAATGAGCTTTAATTAAATACAATAAAATATCAGAAAATAGTGGCTTGTCAATTTTTCCGATCAAATAACTGTTACCTAAGAAGAATTAAAATGACATAAAATAAATTGAAAATCTATCGCTTAACTCGAAACTGCTCGTTTTATTACAAAGCAAAATAGCGTCACGACGGCGTCGTCGCTATGTCAACGCGTCAGAGACGAAGACGTCCTCGAATAGACAAATCGACTGGAAACAGTCATTGCTAACAAGCAAACATAAAAATTCTTTTCTCGTACAAAAAACGTACACAAACCATTGTCACATTAATAAATTACTGGTGCTTATATCAATTAATGTGTTGATTTTATTCCTGTAAATGGACAAACAAGTCGGTTAAAATATGATAAGATATTCCGATTCGAGTAAATTATGAAAAGAAGATCTGATGTCAAAGCCTTTCACTTCAATCAAAACTGATTAAGTACAGGGTGTTAGCGAAATAAATGCATTCCTTTTAACCAGTGACAGTACATATCAAGGGTAACAAAAAGCCTTAGTAACATTTTTGCGAAAAGAACAAGAAAAAATTACTTACTCTTATTATTATTTTTTTTATTATCCACTATTTTCTAATAAAAAATTCACCACTAGATAATAGTTATTAGTAGTAAACCATCCACCAAATTTGGAACCTATGGGTGTAGCCATTTTTGAGAAAAAAGTCTAAAACTAAATTTTTAGGCTAACTTTAGATGCGAATAACTCTGCAAGGGAATTCTTTTTCGAAAAATTTTATATGAAAGACACCCCTTAAAATCACTTGTAGAACACGCTCTTGAAAGGAATGCATTTATTTCGCTAATACCCTTTATTGTGTTTGTATTTGATGGGAGTACCTAGAGAGAATCTACCACAATTGGGCAAATATCAATTGCCGACTATAAGGAAGTCCACCTACGTACTTGCAAATCCAATTTGCACTGACGCCACCTATCTGATGTTGCGTTCAGGAAATCCGTCGCTAGCATACTTTTAATCAAGTACCATCCTGTAGATTAATTGGCTGGTGAGTAGTTCCTTACTTTAGAAAAATTAACGAGGCGCCATAAATCCGACATCCTTCAGGATAATAAACTAACTTACTCTCGAATGTTTATAATCCTTTCGATGAGGTACAATAAAAGAAAAAAATTTCAAAACCTCACAAGTCATGTAAAAAGTCGTTGAAAAATCCATCAAGGTGTTAAACTGGACATTCATCTATTTTATAGTATCAATAAATTTGTTGTAAGTACCCATCGGGCAGTAAAAGAGGCCGCTGCTATTTCACAAGGCCCCGCTAGCAATTTGTCGGTGAAGCGTTTATAAAATTGCACAATATTAAAAATTTTAAATGACGAGATATAAGCCATTAAAACCACACGGTAGCGTAAATTGCATATGCTAAGAGAATGTGGGTTGATATGACAGGAAACTGCTTTGATAAAGTAAGACACTCGTTAATGAGTTCTTTTGCTGATGTTTTTTGTAGCGCTTTCTGAGGAAAAGGAACAATTGGAATCTAGTTCTAGAGGTACTTGTGTAACCGACTTATCATTTTCCGACAGTTTGAGATATCATCAAAGATAAAACTGTCATTTTGATGCGAAAGATAGATAAACATAGATTAAGAAAAATCGAGTTGCTAAATGGCTTCGATTTTATTAATTTTGTCGACCTGACAAGAGTTCTAAAAATAAAGATATTGCAATAATTTAAACAATTCTGAGTCTAGTATGTCTAGCATGTATTAAAATATAAAAAATTAAAGTTGTATTTGTTTCTCTTTTGAATAGTAATTACTTCAGAACTATGCATCATATACCGGGTGCCGGGAAAACTCATAATCAATCATTTACATTTTTCTCATTATTGGTACGGTTTATTAGCAGAAAATACTCGTTGTGCGACATATGATTCAATCAATTTTCACATTACGTTTAACGGGAAGTAAAATCAATAACTATATTTTTTAAGTTGGTAACCTACATCCTGCTAAATTTAATGGTTTCCTCGTGCGCTCATTTATCGCCTTGATGAGAGTGGATTAAAATAGGGAACAAAAATTATTAACGTATTGCCTACTGAATACATCATAATTATCTCAAGAACGTACCTGGTGACACTATTTTTTATTGTCAAAAAGTT